AGAGAGAGAGAGAGGAGAGAGAGAGAGAGAGAGAGAGAGAGAGAGAGAGAGAGAGAGAGCACCAATACAGCCGAAATCCCATTTTCCACCGTGTGCCATATCATCCATGCAAATAAAGTAATTCCCTGTTTTTAAAGGGAGCGAAAGAAAGGAGGGTGATGAAAATGGTTTCGCAATCTATAATAATCGCACTCGCGTATTGATATAAAACGTAGTATACAACGGAGATTTAAATAAATATAAATATATTTATAGGCTTAAAACGAAAACATTTTATTAAGCAATAATTAGGTTAATCAAACCCGATGAGTTGAAAGAAACGGGATTTAGGTTGTAAACCAGATCAATTTAATTACAGCAACTCCGCTTTATTATTACTTGCAATAACTGTCAATTGTTTCTGAAATTTATTAATCCTGATCTATCTATTACTTCTTATACATTATCATCGCAGTTATTCAGAGGCTGTATTTCCAGAGCAAAGCAACGTTGCTTTATATATCGGTTTTATATGTAAGGTTTTATATAAAGTGGACAGGAATGACAAATCTCGTACTAATCAGGTCGAAGTCGTTAACTTCGTTATAACTAACGCTAAATCGATTCGTTCGCACGAGACGAGGCTGTGACTCTCGTGTAGATTCGCGCGACACATTTATGGACCAGTGCACGACAAAATAAACGAGGCTGTCGATGAGGCGGCCAAAACGGGCCCATTATCTCGAGTGTCGTCGTCTCTTCAAGTCCCATATGTATTTACAGTCAGTCGGATCCGTTCGTTGCGCCATCGTATAATTTTGATAGATAAATCGAAGACGTAAAAGAATTACGAAAGCTCTGAGGTTTGCCAATTTCTGATTTGTCAATAAAGAAAACGGACGAATAGATAAAAATAAATAAAAACTGTAAGGTATGTAAAAAATCATATAAAGAGTAAAATAATATGTGTCCTTAACGACAATAATAATAACAACAATAAGGGAAGAAAAAGATAAAAATCCGAGATTTAAGTCCGATTTAATTCGAGTTATAATTACCATTAACAATATTCTTGTATTTCAGTTTAATTGATTTACTATAGTTAATGAGATCTCTATACAAAGCATACAAATTTGAAAGCTCAAATAAATAATATTTCAAAATATTGAATATGTCATGTAATATTCATGTCATTAAATATACATTAATTAATTAAATTCTAATTATATGACGGTACTCTGACAGAATTCCGATTTTCGACTTAGCTGAAAAAACATTCAACAAGTAGAGGACCAAGAGAGAGAAAGAAAAAGCAAAAGAGAATTGCATGAAAAAAAAATAAATAAAAATAAAGCTAATATTTTCAAAACGCAAATGAAAACAAATTAATAAAATATTTTATTGATAAAAGTTCCTAAATTCTCATTATCTATGATGACGGGCCGAAAGACTTTTCGACAAGAATATTTTCGATTCGATTCACCCGCGAAAATTAGTGTACGAGGACGTTAATTACATCATCGAGCCTTCTTCAAATAGCCGGATCGAAGGAGAGAAAGAGAAGGCGAGAGAAGGGGAGAAAAAAAAAGAGGTGAACGAGCCGTCGCGAACCGGCGAGAGATTAAGGTCGATCCACGGAGCCGAGCGAGTCACGAACGTAGAAAGGTACGACGACCTTCGAAAAGGGTCAACGCACCCGCAACGCGGTGCGCCAAGCGCAATAGACGGAAGTGAAGTCACGAATTTCGGAGCGGAACGACCGTGAAATGATGCACGGGGTGGTGAGGGCCGGGGCGGGAGGTACAACGCGCCCCCGGGGACTCACTGTCGCGGTTTAGACAATGTTTATTCATTCGAAATCCCGACGAACCGACGACGGGGTCGCTTTTATGCACACACGTAAACGCATTCGTTTCGGTGGCATCGCTGAAAGCTCGGGGAGAGGGATCGCTCTCCAGTTGTGTGGCCGAAGCAAGACGTATCCATAAAATAAAAAAATTTTTAATAAAAAATATAAGCTTTAATATAATATAAGCCTACCTCGATATAGACGAATCTAAAGGTGCACGTAACGTAATCGCTAGTTGCAAAAATTGTAATAGTTAATTGTAATAGTTACAAAATTTTCGTAAAAGAAAAGCTAACTCAGCTAATTTGGACTGTTAAAATTAGGCTTGCGAATTATGAAACACTTTGTCGCAAACCGTTCTAAAAAGATAGTATATGAAAAAATAAAAGAACAAACCGTCGAGAAAATTGAGTTTCCTTTCTTAAAAATTAATGCTAGTATTGGTGAACATATTCCTATTTGCTCAAAGAATACGTGATTATATTTTTCTGACTTTTCTAGATATTCAGTGGTTCCCTAAATATGAAGCTATAAATACGAAGCTATTATTCTATGAAAAACTCATGAACTATCAAGAGTTCTGGCTTTATTTTTAGTTCAGTATAAACTAGATAAATATAATTCTAGTCATTAGATGGACATTATAAAGCATTAACCTCCTTCTGAACATTACGTTCGTCCAACTTTCTTCCTTTACCATGAATAAGCTTTTTTTAATATTTATTGCCAAACTTCAGAAAATAGACCGTACTACATGAATCACATGCATATTAGTAGATAAACATTGTTCCTCTATTTTCTAAATAATCGTTTTATCAAGAAAATCATATTAACAAATATACATGTAAAACGCAGATCAATTTTTCTGTATGTTGCAAAATAAATCTCGTATAATTTTTTGAATATATTTATTTAAGTATTTATAAACATTTATTAATATTTTTATAAACATTTATTAAACAATTTTTATACTGCAAAATATATAGTATTCCAATAATTGCAATTCTGATAATTGCAACTATTGGAATAATTGGAAGTGGCTAGCAAAACTCGGAATATTTTGGTCGGAATCGTTAGTCAGAAAATTACAACTAGGTTATGACTAAAAAAACTTGGGATATCTCCGTTGATATTTCCTGGTCAGTAACTAGCCAGAAAATTACAACTGGTTTATAGCTTAAAATCAGACAATAAACGTTAAGGCAACTCATGCGGAACAGAGGAGATGCTGTGTGAATCTGGCATCTCAATTTGTCTTGAGGCGGTTTTTATGTTTTGGTCAGAGCTATTAGTTTAACTTAAACAAAACTGCAGAAGTATCAAGAATAAAGCCAGCATTCTCAATAGTTTAAAAATTTCTATAAACTAATGTACCAGCTTCGCACGTACATTTCCATAAATATGTCACGAAGTCTCTCGAGACTTCGTCGTTCGAGCGATTTAATGGCCGATAACGAAGTTAACAACGTCCGATTCGGTGCTGGTTTTCGTATCTCGTCACCTCGTCGACGAATTTCTTCGTTATTTCAGAGAGGTCTTTGTATAGCGAGGTCGTAGAACGAAATCTCGCGAGTGATTCACCTGCCATTGGGGAAATTTAAATAAAAGTAGCTGTCACTATAGTCGGCACTGTGCTTTTGTTTCTCAAAAACAAATAGCGAATGATTGTCTGCGATCTTTCGCAAATTCACGATTGTTATCGCGAGTGATAATATAGCCTTTGTCATAAAATCGTACACCGATCTTCGTGCTTATCGAACGTGTTTGTCGTAACGTGAGGAAATAACAAGTAAAGCGAATGCTATCAGCTTTATGCTTCCTGTTTGAAGATATTCACAAAAGCTCTTCTGAATGTTACATTATTTCCACGTCGTGCGAACGCTTCGGAAAAGCATATAAAGATCAAAACAATGATAATTCTTCGCATAGCTGCAATATTGATACGATATTGGAACGATTTTACTTCTCTCTCTCTCTCTCTCTCTCTCTCTCTCTCTCTCTCTCTCTCTCTCTCGTGCCAAACAAAAATGAAAAATATAATCGCGGTTTGACGAACGATCAAATAAATTAATTTGTCGAGCGAAACAGAGAGGAAGAGAAGAGAAAGAAAATCATCCCAAGGCAAAATTTTCATTCTGCACTAGATTGCATCCATTAGATGCTTTAAACAGCATTATTAATGCAATTATAAATACCGCGTGCGATCGTTTATAATATCATTTATAATATGTTCTCACACTAGATTTTTTTGCGACGCGAGCATCGTGAAAATATCGTGTTTTGCAGTTATTTAACATTAA